ACAAAACAAAGACATCGCGGGTCAAAACTGTTAACAGTTGAATGGGTGAGAAGAGTGGGCAACTTGGCTTGGTCATTGTGCGTGTTCGGGGCCAATCAATAGCCCAAATTATGGTAATCAATTTTAATTAGAGAGACGGTAAGAACGCAAGCCCCACAACCCTTCAAGCAACTCACTCAATTCTGTCCGAAACGCAACTGAATGCGAATGGAGTGAATAGGACGCTTCTGAATATGACTGGACTGCAATTGACGTAGTCAAAGCGCAGCTCATAATCCGAGCATCATGTTTAGAGTTGCACTGGGAAAAAAAGAAGATTTTAAGGCAATAATATATGAAACCTCTAGGATTCTAAAATCATTTAAAATGGTGCGTAAAAGTATGCAGTGAAAAATTATCGTATAAATTATTGTTGCCTACTTTTAGACACAATCGATTGTAAAATAAATTTTGGAAATTCTATTATTTGGATTTCGAAAATAACTATATTTTCACAGTGCACCCAACCAATTGCCAGAAAAGCTGGAGAGGGGGATTGAGCTGGGATTTTTGCTTATGTCAAAATTCGAACAATGGCCAAGTGGCTGGCCCGAAATTGAGGCTGACAGCCCTCATGGTCGCCACACCCTCATTCCCGGACCATCCTCATCCCCATCCCCATTCCGGGTCCTCATTCAAATCGAAACTGATGGACAGTCAGCCACATAGAGGCATCTAGTGGGCGGGGTGAAAAGTGGGAGGGGCATGCAGGATAGCACTCGGAAATTGAAGCTGGCTCTGCCAGAGGCATCGGCTTCAAAATTCCATTATTTGGATTAGACCAATTGTTGCTTTGAATTCGGCCGCTTCGAGCCCATAACGCTTATTGAATAGCCGAAATTATAGTTGGATACCCTGAACCATCCACTCAGAATTTGGACAGTTGAGTAAAGCACGGCAGAACATATCAATTACGATTAGGTGAGTTAAATAGATTGATTTCTAAGGTATTAATATTCAGATTTGTATCTGTTAACCAATAACCAATAAATTATTCTGAATGTATTAAGTAATTAAATTACACTGTGCAGCATTTTTAGTGCTTTTTAAATTTACCTCGATGGATGCTATATTTTTGGATTCGTTACGAATTCCCAAGTTAAACTGCGTTTTCCAAAAAGTTCCCCGACGCAAGGATTCTTAGCAAAAGGACCTCAAAGTTCGAAAAATGCTGAAATTGGCCAACTTTGCGGAGCTCTCAGAGGCAAATGGATGTATGGTTTGATTCGATGTTAAAGTTTTTTAAAAGATACACCCTTTATCTTTTAAACCCAATACATAAAAAATTTTTAAGATTTTTTTTAAGGCAGAAACAAATTCTAGAAAACTTAGTCAAAAAACATAAAAGTATACAGCTGCGGTCAAAATGGTAGTAGTGTTGCCGCCCTGTGTATTTAAAAGTTTGTTGTTGTAATTGATCTTTTCCTGGTAATATTGTATTGATTATAATTTTACTATTAGACTAATTGGATAAGAAAAAATTACAACATCAAACTTTTAAAAACACAAGACGGCAACACTGCTACTATTTTGACCGCAGCTGAATGTTTTTCAGTTTTTTGACTATGTTATTTGGAATTTATTTCTGCCTTAAAAAAATCCTAAAATTATTTTATGTATGGGGTTTGAAAGATAAGGGGTGTATCTTTTAAAAAACTTTAACTTCGAACCAAGCCATGCATCCATTTGCGTCTGAGAGCTCCGCAAAGTTGGTCAATATCAGCATTTTTCGAACTTTGAGGTCCTTTTGCTAAGAATCCTTGCGTCGGGGAACTCTTTGGAAAACGCAGTTTAACTTATGAATTCGTAACGAATCCAAAAATATAGCATTCATCGAGGTTAATTTTTGATGCTGCATAGTGTTATCAGTGGTATAGAAAATTCATTAAAATTATTTAGTAAGCAATGAATAAAATAAACATATCGATTTTTGCGGTATAAATAAATGTATCAATTAAATTCATTTATTATGCAGAAAATATAATTTAAATAGTTTTAAACGTAATTAAATTAGTAAAGTTCTTTAAAAAAATTTCAAAAAATGCCTTTCCTCTGGCTAAATGTCAAATTCTCATCTACCATATTGCCAGAAGCTTAAAATCTGCCAAAGTTGCCAATCTGCTGGGGTCAAAGTTGGCAAACGCAAAGTAATTTGGAAAGTACACAACATTGGGCAACTGGAGCAGCTGCTGCTACTGCTGCCAACTGGTATTAACAGTAAATGACTGGCCTAATTTATGCACCTTGGTCCGAAACCGAAACACACATGGTGAGAGGAATTACAATTGTATTGCAGTCAACATTTCCATTGCCATTTCCATTTTTGGGGCGGGGGAGGAGGAGAGAAATGGCAGGACACGCCCCCCGCCGCCGTCGCAATGCCGTAACTTGATGGAATAGCTAAGCCGAAAACCAACCGCATAGACATGACTAGAACTCAACCAAAACTATGTACCGACTGACTCCCCGGTAATCTCCATCCCCCCGTTCTGACATCCATCTCTCTGCGACTTTTCGGGGGGAAATTGCTTTACACAATCGAAACGCACGAAATGACAATATAAATCGAGGGGCGGAACTAATTTTGGCAAAAGACTCGAAATAGGCCGGGCACGACCACAAAAACCGGAATGATGATACTTGAAGGGGTGGCATACGTAGTATGGAATAGGGAAAATCCAGGAAAAGAGAGTGGATAGACATGGGGGGTGTGCAATTTCAGCTGGTGCTACTACGTCTGAATTGGCCAAAATTAACGCAACGAGTAGAAAAGTTTTGTGTACGGAAATTGCGTAACTACACATTAATGAAGAAAAATTGCACAACGTGCTGGGGTGGGGAAAACTAACGCCCCCATTGAAAACAGACTGCAGGTAGCGAGGGGAAGGGGAAAACTTTCCGAAATTGGACGACACTTTAGCCATAAAAGGCCTCTGATTTATGCCAATTGAAGCTCATCCAGGTAAACTGCCTCGTAATGAAGTGAAGTCCTGAAATGAATCCATGGCCAGAGGGTGATTATAGTGGTTAAATGGGTGGCAGGGTGGCCACATATTCGGGATTAGAGCATCCCGCTTTGATCATCATCGTCATCTAATCATTTGTTATTCGCAGACCTGGATTCTCCGGCTCTCGTAATTCTTTTATGGCCGCTATTAAATCCCTGACCAGACAAATGGAGACATCTTCCATTTACGACTGCTTCGCCAACTATAATCATCGTCCATCATCTGTTGCCTAATTAATTGTAAAGTTTTTCGCTCCTTTGCTGGAAATCTTTTGCGCCCATTAATTTTGCCACAGATGCCGTAATTGCCGGGACATCGGGTCGAATGATTAATATATAAGAAAGTTTTGCACTTGCAACTGGCTAAGAAAATGGCCTAGGAGTTTGTTACTTCTTAAACTTTTCCTGAAGTGATAATAAATTAATGTTGCATATATTAAAAATAATAATTTTATAATCGTTAAATTTTTAAAGATAAATTTCTTATGTTCAGTTGCCCATTTTGTCTTTTTTGCTTCTAGTACTTTAACCAAATTCCTGAAATGCCTAACCTTTCTGCCATCTTGTCTCCTCAAGAGGACTCAAAAACGAGCCAAGCGAATCTACTCCTGCCTCTGAAGTGGATAATGATTTAAATTCATGAAATTAGTTTTAATAATATTAATAATATCATCACTTGGCAGCAGAAACCAATTTGGGAATGGGGAGGTGGTGGCCAAGTAAGCCTGGAACTCCGACGCCATAAGCCGGCTTTGGTTTCAGCTTTCGACTTTGGCTCTCTGGCTTGGCTTTAGCATTTTTGGTCATAGTTCAACGCTTGCTGGGAATTTGCACAAAGGCGTCAAGGCAACTGCTCCTCTTGCTCCCCATTCCTCATCATCGCCATCTGGGGCTTATGCCCATTGTTTGCACTGTTGCCCTTGCCAGTGCCAACCATCATCAACATTATGCAGAAGGCTCCCGGGCTAAGATCTGGCCACAAGTTATAAAACTGCCTGGTAGCCCCAACTTCCCAACTGAATTTCATACCCCCCGTACTCCCCAGTCATTCATCTAACAAATTTCTCTCTCTTTGTTTAAATTTTGCGCGCCGGAAATTTGCTTATCGCCGCTTTTCAGTTGTGGCTCTTGATGCCAGTGTAGGCGTAGAAAGGGGGGTCGCGTGGGTCAGGGGAACCATGCTTTTAGAGGGGGACCAAAGTCAATAGGGAGATTAGTGCGGCAGGCATTGAGCCGGCACAGAGCTGTGCTAATTGAGCGACCGGTCATGGCAACAGCTTAAATCAATAGAACCAGCCCGGATTTATTCAATATGCACCCGAAATGAAAGAGAAACTTTCCGGGGGTTCATGCGGCAGATAAATTAATGATTAGCCGTGCACTTAAATTAGCTAATTCTATGGGTCAACTATAAAGACAGACACATATTGGTCGACCCTTAAATTAATGTAAATTTTACGCTTTTTGGTATAATTTTCCACATACAAAATTGTTCATTCGCAGTAGCCTAATATAGAACGTTAAGCCATTGTACATCTACCCCAAAGGACTTTAATTTATTCTATCATCAGCCCTCGAGTGGTTCAAATCTTTTTATAAACCTTTATATAATTATTTTAAGGGAGACATCTGAGTACAATTTTTAAAAAAATCGAAAAATCTTTTTTTTCAGATGCCCCCCCTTAAATTTTTAAATCGTTTTGTATGTTTAAAAAAAAAATTAAAAAGAAAAAAAGTTCTTTTACAGTTTCTATATTAATTCTTTAATTTGGAACCCCTTTGTCCATATTTTCCAGTAATTTCAAAGCCTGGACTAAATTTTCGGTTTGATCTGAAGGTGCAGAAGGTGATGATTAATAAACGCAAAATATTTTTGAAATTTTGTTTAATCAGTTTTTTTTTTATTTAAAAGTAAAGTATAATTCATAATATTTTCTCGCCACAAACATTGTCTCTACAAAATCCCTAGTCCGAGACCTCCGCCTCCTGGCTTTCTGCCCCGATTACCCCCACCACCACCGCCACCTCCTGCTCCTCCTACGAGGCCTCCCAATCCCAAGGTGTTGCCCACTCCTCCCAGAGTCTGGCCCAAACCACCTCCCAGTTGTCCCAGTAGGTTGCCCAATCCCTCACAGGTGGTAGAACTCAGGGGAGAGAGCGAGGCACCCAAAACGGACAGTTCGCAGAAGCGGAAATCGTTGGAGGTCTCCAATTTAGTATCGATCTTGATAAAAGGCGTAGCTTTTCCCGTAACGCTCTGGAAAAGCGATGAACTCTTGCCGCCCTCCTCTTTATCTCTATTGGCAAACTTAACCAAGAGATCGATGAGGTTATGACGAACTTTCAGATCCTCGGCACTGGTCAAACGGGTTTCCTCTAGGGGATTGCCAAAAATATCATTTGCATCGAACATATAGCCAATCTCATCGCCATGACCCACTGTCTCGGGTTTATCGTGAGCAGTTTCAGAGACAATGGGAAGACCTTTCAAGAAGTTAACACCCTTTGACTTGGTGCCATTGTACTCGAAGCTGTACATGAAAGCTGGTGCCAGTTTGGACCAAACTTGTGTGGTCAGGACCGCGGGAAGATTGAAAAGAACATCGGTTGTGGACTCCACCACCTTAGAGAGCACTTGATCCACGTTCAAGGCCTGCGGCACCTTCCAAACGTCCTGAAGAGTAGGTGTCAGCACACTCGTTAGACCCGGAAGTTCCGGTTTGGCAATCTGACCGGTTAACTTATCGATTTTCAAAAAACTCGTCAGCTTATTGAGGGAATCACTGAGAGATCCCAAGAACTGTTCGGCCGTTCCGAAAACTTTTTCAATGCTTTCCACCGTCACCGAATTGGCTGTCTCGTGCTTGGTGACTCCGGTCAGCAGGGGAATTCCCGAAAAGTTACTGCTCTTGAGCTGCTGTTCCGGTTCTCCAACTATCAGACTTGGCAGCGCCCTTCCATCGTCCTCGCTTTCAATGTGAGGCTGGAAACCAACATTTCCAGTTAGTCCTTTGACCAGGGCTCGTCCAGCCAAACGCTCTGTTTGCACTTTGTCATCGTTCTTAATGATCTCCTCGGCACTTTTCTAAAATAAAGCGAAAGAAAAGTAATAAATATTTTATTAAATAAAGATATTAATAAACTCTTAAATGTCAATTGCCATAAAACTGATCTGCTAATAATCATACGACATATAAATTTCGACTAACTGGATTTAAACTTTTCAGAAAAAAAAAAAACTTTATTTGAAGAATTTGTTTTAGATTTTTATGGAAAAATATAAATCCCAAGTAATATTTTTTGATATTTATATAAATCAAAATCACAAATTAAAATATTTTTTAAATTTTTTTCATAAAAAAACTTATTTTAAAATTTTAAGTTAAATTTAGTTTAAAATATAGAAAAAGTTTATTTATACTTATGACTTTTTTAAAGTGATTAAAATTGCGTTACTTAAAAAAATCGTTATTTGTTTTCTTTGTAGCTAAAACCCTTCTTAAGAAATTAGTAAATAACTTAAGTAAGTTTTAAGATTTAACAATAGAAATTCCTTCCTTACTCACCGCTCTCATACAGTTGACGATCTCCAGTTCGTTTCCAGTGGGACACCCGTTGATTTTGGCCAACTCCTGGACACTCTGAACGGGTTCCTTGTCCATGGCGTACTGAGAAAGCGCCGTTCCCGACATGGCCACCACCCCATGAACATCCCCGGCGCTCCTTGACGTCTGGGACATGGAAAGATACATGGCACTAGCTGCTCCCGATCCGTGTCCAATAGCTTGAACCTGTTTGGGATTACCGCCGAAATAGGAGATATAATCGGTGACCCAACGGAGAGCGGCGGCCAGATCGAACATGGCCAGATTTCCATCGAACTCCTTGGTGCCATCGCCCATGATGCCCAGGGAGCCCAGGCGATACTGAGGGGCCACCACAATGGCGCCCCTTTGGGCCATGGGCGTGGCATCGTACTGGGCGGCCGAGCCATATCGATAGCCACCCGGATGGATCCATACGAAGACCGGGAGTCCCGTGCTCTCGTCCGGCATTTGTGGAGTGTAGATATTCAGCAGCAGGCAATCCTCATCGCCGATAATCCGCTGGGGAAACTGCGGATGCGGTTGAATGCAGGGTGGTCCATGCTTGGTGGCATTAAAATCGCCAGCCAGTCTCTTGTAAACCGGACGGGAGTATCTCAGCGGGCCCAGCGGAGGTTCAGCATAGTGCATTCCGAGGAAACTATAGATGCCCGTATTGGGATTTCGAAAGCCCTCGACTCGAGCATCGCGATTAAAGAGTCGCGCAAAAATCACAGGATCATCGACTGGCGGCGCCTTCGACTGCTTGCCACCCACAATCCGTTTCACTCGAATATGATTTGATTCCCCGCCCGATTCGCACCTCGCCAAGGTCACAATCCCGAGTAACAATAAAATGTTCCGCTTCAGCTGCCTTTGCATTTCGCTTCGCTCGATTGTCAACTGGGAACTGAGCACTAACTGGCATTATAATCGCAGTCCCCTGCTCAAAAAAGCGAGGCCGGCCACTTGCTCAGCTTGGCGATAAAAAAAAGCCAGGCAGCAAGTGAAATAAAAATAAGTATGGAAAAAAAGCATCACAAATGATAAAAAGTATAAAAACGAGAAACGAAAAACTGAAACTTTTGCGGCCGCCTTGTTTGCGTGCCTTTAGTTGGATAAGACCATGTTTGGAAGGGAGCAGCTTCTGCGGCATTCTAATCACGTACTCCACGCCAGTTAAAGTTCACTGAGTCACTGAGAATTGGGAATTAGCTGGGGGATTTTCGAATAACTTTGCGGCCAACAAACACTCTCTAAGTCCCCGGACAACAAGCCTAAAAATACCAGAGTTCAAGGACAATGTTTGGGGCCTAAAAATAACTTCAAGCTATTTTATTCTAAATTTAAAAACTCTATATAAAACGAGAAAGGAAGCTAGCTTCGGCAAGCCGAAGCTTATATACCCTTGCAGATCATTCTATTAATTTACAAATCGCAAAAATGTTAAATTTTTTATTATTTCACATTAATTTTTCGATCGTTTCTATCACAGCTATATGATATAGTAGTTGATCTTTTAAAAATTAAAATCGAAATTCGGAAATATTTCAAAATAGTCATATCCCAGAGCAGAAGGGAATGTAATAAAAACCAACAAAGATATAATTTTTTTCCCATTAATTTCCATTTAATTTTTCGACCGTTCCTATGGCAGCTATATGATATAGTGATCCGATTTAAAAAAAAAAAAATTCGAAATTCAGAAATTTAAAAAGAAAAATACTCCCAAGAGTAGAAGGTAAAATTTCAAAAAACACCGGAGCTAGAATTTTTTTTCCGTTTTTTTCCGTTTTTTTTTCGATCCTTCCTATGGGAGCTATAAGATATAGTTGTCCGATCCGTTCGGTTCCGACATATATACTACCTGCAATAGAAATACGACTTTTACGAAAGTTTCATCGCGATAGCTTCAAAACTGAGAGACTAGTTTGCGTAGAAACGGACGGACAGACGGACAGACGGACGGACAGACGGACGGACAGACGGACAGACGGACGGACAGACGGACATGGCTAGATCGACTCGTCTAGTGATGCTGATCAAGAATATATATACTTTATGGGGTCGGAAACGTCTCCTTCACTGCGTTGCAAACTTCTGACTGAAATCATAATACCCTCTGCAAGGGTATAAAAATAATACGTATAATAACATATCATAGTTAAAAATTACATATTTAAATATATTATTTCCTTAACAAAACGTAATAATTAATAAATAGAGTTTAAAGACGATGTTTACTGACTAAATTTAACTACCAGCTTTTATATTTTATATTTAAAAAATTATTCATATTATAACATATCATAATTTAAAATATTATAATAAAAATTGTATCTCCTTAATGAAACTATGTACAACATTTCATCTGCACATCAATCAAATAACCAGTTTGTAGCTGAAATTTAATTTTCCCTTTCGAGTTGTTAAACGATTATTTCAGAGATTGATGTCTCTGCTCATCTCTCGATTTGAGCGAAGGCAATTAAATCGGAGACAATTTGCTGAATTGCGTTATTATTTTATTGGCAACGTGAGATTTCTTGCCCAGAATCATCGCCTCATCTTTCTATGGAGAATAGCAAACTGGTCAGTTTGGTTTTTCCCGTCACATTGTTGATGTTTTCTTGCTGTTCGCTGAAATTCAATTGCATGAGCAAAATAATAATGAGAGTTTAAAGCCGACAGCGGTCATTGTCTGTAAATGAGACTTATGTGGGGTGGGAGGGATGAACAAGGGGGGCTAGTTGGCCATATGAGTCCATAGTGCCATATTTTACAGCTGTGCGGCATTATCTTTTGCCCACATGAATTATATTCTTCAGCATATTTACAGCTAACAGAGGAAGCGCAGAGCGGAGGCCGGATGCTGGCAAATATCATGAGGCGAACGCATGTTGAGATTTCAAGCTTCAAGTTTCTTCACCCATCATCCCCCCTGGCGCAAAAGTCGAGCGAGGACCCCAGGATCCATCCGGGGATTAGGCCGGAGACCGACGGAGCGGCACGCGCTGCCCGAACCGAAAGCACTCTGCCACATGAATCTCAATGTTGTTGTCCAGCCAGTCGACCACGTACGGCAGCTGATTTGTCCCAGTCTCGGTTCAGGCCCCCTTCTTCCATCACCCATGCTTCTCAGCTATTCCACTCATTTTAGCACTGAGAAAAATTAAATTAAGTAAAATGATAAATAAAATAAAATTAATTTTTATTAATATTTTATTAGGAATAAAATTCTTAATAAACAATATCAATGAATTTATATTTTATATTCCTCTTTTTATAAAACATTATTAAAATATAAACTCATATATGAACATTTAGTTTGAAAATATATTACAATTATTTCAAATATATGAATGACCTTATTCTTTATAATTACATAGTTGTAAACAATTTTTTTGTTTTTTTAACATGTGACAATAATGTTGTAGTAGCTTGGCTAACTTATTTAAATTTTTTGTTCAATCGATTATAAATTCCATCAATAGATACAAAAATTGCATTATAAAAATAAATTCTTTTGAAAAATACGTCTTTAATTTTTATACAAAACTCCAACTAAAATCTTCTCTAATATTTCTTCCAGTGTAATTCCAACCGCTCTTGGCTCTTTCATGTGTCGCAGACAATGGCCAAATGACATTTAAAGTTACGACAATATAATTAAGTATACTACTGGGAGTTGACGCCATCTGAAGTCGGTGGAGGAGAAGCAGAAGCAGGAGCAGCAGGATCAGGAGCCAAGGAATAATTATATATGTATGAGGAGTGGCAGCTCCAGGACCTGCTCATCCTTTCCGAAATGCCTCGAGAGGCGTGCAACACTCTTGCAGCACGCAAAGTTTGCCCAGATGCAAAGAGTGGAGGCTAGACCCACTTTCCGACTGCCCAACTGGCACGCCTCAGCGTTTAACGAGATTAATCTTTTTCGCCTGACTATCTACTCCTATCTCAATCCCAACTGTCCCTGCCAGAGAAAAGTCCTTAAAAAGTTATTAATCTTCGGGCTATCGAGTAAATATTTTGCTTTTAATTGAGTTTAAATGCACCATCAAAGTGATTTGCATAAAAGAAGACATTGTTCAAAGGGAAAACCAAGAAGGGTTTGATTTACTGCCTACATTGCATGTAAGACAAAGCCGAGAAATGTAAAAGGCAATTATTACTCGCTAGATTGGTTTTTAATTTGATTTTAGGATAGACATTGTCTCAGACTTCGATGAAGTAAATATTTTCATTTCGACATTTAAAACAATAACCCTTTTTGTTGGTCATTCGACTATTATAAAATCTCTAAAATAAATATTTTAACTTTTTTTATGATAAGTACATTTCTTTTAGCTTCCTATTTAAAATTAAAATTTAATTTATTGCATTCAAATATCTATATATAGGTTTTGTTTGTTTATTGTAACAATTAGTCAAGAAATTCTATATTTTCGTATTTCTTATTTATTAATATCAAACATTTCATTAAACCATTACTCTTCGCCCTCGAAACTTGTATTAATTATCTTGCTTATCATTTATCCAACCAACACACTTTGCCAGCCTAATTTATCTTTATTTTTTCGTTGCTTTATGTTGTGTACCACACGCAACGCACTAGGATTTTTCCAGCTGCCCCCCGGTTTTTCCAGCCCCCTTCCCCACCCCATGCCACGAGTCAATAGATTGCGTGTGCCACGCCCATAAGTGCGTGGGAGGCGTTGCGTGGAAATTAGCGGCAGCTTCCCAGCTGCTGCTGATGCGATTTTGATGTGCAAAATATTAATTATAAAACAATAATTGAATTGTGCTCTTGCTCTTGGCAGTTGAGTGAGCGTCGAAAGGTGAGCGATTTTCCTCGCCCCCAGAAAATCCCAAACACACACACACACGCCAAAAGTTCATTATGCTAGACCAATTTTTCTTTGGCATCTGTTGGTATTTGTTGGAGGAAAACAAATTAGTTTGCCATGATTGCAGTTTAATAGGATACCACAGAGTTTCATAAGTGGAATTTATCAGGTGGCTAAGCTGGAAATTGTTCGGGGAAAAAAGAAAATTAATTGCTTTCATAACCATTAAACGTTTCGTACAGAAAGTTGTAGAAAACACAGAGATTTATGGTCTCTTGAGAACTTATACTCATATATTATAAATATATAAGTGAAAGCTGCTATTATTAAATCCTTTAAAGCATTATCCCACAACTTTCCCCATTTGAATTAACATTTTTTGTAACTGCGTAAAATCTTTAAATTATTTTCCGAACCTGCAATTCGCATGTTTTTGTCCCCAGTCAACTATAAAAAGGCACAAGAGCGTAAATAATACAACAAGAATATATGTACATAATAATAAATAAATATGGAAAATATTGCATCAAATGGGCGACCCACTCTGTTTGAAAAAGAAAACAATATACGAGATGGCAGGAAGGCCACAGGGAAAAAAGGAGATGAATCGAAAACAAAACAAAGTTAAACCCAATACATTAATGGTATTTGCATTTGTACTGATTTTATTTGGTTTTTATTGAATTGATAAAATCACAGCGAACAGGAGAAACAAACGAGAGTCGAGGGCTCGGGTTCGAGTTCGATTCCTCGTCTCTGTTTCGTCCTTCGTCCTGTTATTCCCCCTCCAATCGCCAATTTGATATTCCGATTGCAATTTATGTGCGCCCCCAACACTCGCACCCTTTTGTATGATTACACACACACACAGACAATCGGCTTACATGAGTGTGTGTGTTTGTGTGGGGAAGCTTCACTGTGATTCTTTTCCCCCTCCATCAACCCCCATGCCCCATCCAACAATTGAAGCTTTGTGTTTAAACATCTGCAATATGCTGCGTGTTCCGGGTAGCTGAAAACCCCGGAATGGGTCGA